CAAGAGACATGGGAAATGTAGAGTGACTTCTAATGGTTATGGGGTTTCTTCCTGGGATAATGAAATGTTCTAAAATTAAATAGTGGTGATGGTACAGCTTAATGAATACATTAAAAACCACTAAATTGTATACTTTAAAAGCGTACATATAAAAGTGTACGTGAATACAGTTGAGCCTTGAACAACACAGGTTTGAACTGCATAGGTCCACTTATGTGCCAATTTTTTGGTATAGTACCATAAATCTATTTTCCTTATGATTTTCTTAATAGTTTCTCTAGCTTACTTTATGGAAAGAATATAGTGTAATACACACACACACACACACACACACACAGTATGTATTAATTGACCTTACTTCCCTCTGTGTTTTTGAGTATTTGATGCAGAATATTATTAACTTTTTTCTACCATAGGTAGAATCTTAGAAAAATTTTAACATCTGGTTTTAAGACAATAGCAGCAACTATATACATGCCATTTATTCCATGATTTCATAGTCCTGGTCTTGAAATCTTGATTCTCATTATGTTGCAAGGAAATATGCACTTTTTTGTTGTTGGAGGTGATGGTGGTGGTGGTACGTATGACTGAGAAGGTTGCTGTTTTTTCTTCTGCACGCTGAATCGTACCTTAGCTGGATAAGCAGTTTTGAGTCATGAACATATACAATTCTGTATACATTCATCTATTACCTTCTATTATTAATTATGAAGTGCTGCAAAAAAGCAGCAAGGCTTTATCAGTAAGGCTTTCAGTCAACAGTGGACTATTAGTAGGTGAGTTTTGGAGGAATCAAAAGTTATACACAGATTTTCAACTGCACCAAGGTCAGAGCCCCTAACTCTCGATTTTTCAAAGGTGAACTGTATATTATAAAATTGAAAAAAAAAAATAGGGAAGAGTTACAGAAGATTGAACTGTAAGGAACCCAGACTAGCAGATGAAATCGAAGGAAATATCCTCATTTTATATAATTTCGTCTCAGAACACCAGGTGAAATTAATGAACAGAGACCAAGATCTGGCCACACTTTGTTCAAGTTGTTTGTTTTTATTTTAAAATGAAGGGGAGAGGGAACCTAAGGAACAACAAACAAAAACGAAGGGAGTGGCAGTCAGCTTGTCGTCAGACTTTTCTGCAACACTTAGTAATGGAAGGTAATAGACTTCTACAGAATTATATATAAATTTATGACTCAAAACTGCTTATCCAGCTACAGTACGATTCAGCATGCAGAAGAAAAAAACAGCAACCTTCTCAGTCATACGTACCACCACCACCATCACCTCCAACAACAAAAAAGTGCATATTTCCTTGCAACATAATGAGAATCAAGATTTCAAGACCAGGACTATGAAATCATGGAATAAATG